AAGAACGGTGAGCAAAAATCCCAGGACCACACGGGGGGACCTAGTGAATGACCTGCAGAGAGCTAGGACCAACGTAACAAGGCTACCATCAGTAACACACTACGCCGCCAGGGACTCAGATCCTACAGTGCCAGACGTGTCCCCCTGCTTAAGCCAGTACATGTCCAGGCCCGTCTGAAGTTTGCTAGAGAGCATTTGGATGATCCAGAAGAGGATTGGGAGAATGTCATATGGTTAGATGAAACCAAAATGGAACTGTTTGGTAGAAACACAACTCGTTGTGTTTGGAGGAGAGAGAATGCTGAGTTGCATCCAAAGAACACCATACCTACTGTGAAGCATGGGGGTGGCAACATCATGCTTTGGGGCTGTTTCTCCGCAAAGGGACCAGGACGAACTGATCCATGTACAGGACAGAATGAATGGGGCTATGTATCGTGAGATTTTGAGTGCAAACCTCCTTCCATCAGCAAGGGCATTGAAGATGAAACGTGGCTGGGTCTTCCAACATGAACAATGATCCCAAACATACCGCCCGGGCAACGAAGGAGTGGCTTCGTAAGAAGCATTTCACGGTCCTGGAGTGGCCTAGCCAGTCTCCAGATCTCAACCCCATAGAAAACCTTTGGAGGGAGTTGAAAGTCCATGTTGCCCAGCGACAGCCCCAAAACATCACTGCTGAGAGATCTGCATGGAGGATGGGCCAACATACCAGCAACAGTGTGTGCCAACCTTGTGAAGACTTACAGGAAACGTTGACCTCTGTCATTGCCAACAAAGGATATATAACAAAGTATTGAGATGAACTTTTCATATTGACCAAATACTTATTTTCCAGCATAATTTGCAAATAAATTCTTTCCAAATCAGCCAATGTGATTGTCTGGATTTGTTTTCTCATTTTGTCTCTCATAGTTGAGGTCTACCTATGATGCCAATTACAGGCCTCTCTCATCTTTGTAAGTGGGAGAACTTGCACAATTGGTGGCTGACTAAATACTTTTGCCCCACTGTAACAGTGCTATGGAGTCACTGTTGATGGGGAATCGAGTGATTTTCTTTCCTTCCACCCACGGTGGAAGCAAAGAGGATCACAAAATCTACAGGTTGCTTTGGTCTTGGGATCCGCAATCCCTTCCTATGTTCTATTCATGTCAATGATGGGATGTCTTGGGGTCACGGTGTCAGTGACCTGGGTCAGCATCACCTCTTACCCAGAACGACCTTCACATGTTCACTTCCTGTGTTATCGGCAATAAACAGAACCCTCTACTCCGATTATAGAATATAAACGCCCAGAATGATTAACCCTACTAAAGCTGAAAAACGAATCCCCGTCTTACCGGTTACTCATTAACAATCTTTCTGAAAGTACCATTGACATACAAATTATACAAGACGGCTGTGTGATTAAATATAGATGTTCTTCTATAATTAGCACGGCGGCGTCTCTCGCCAGCGTCTGCAGAGAGGAAGGCGCTGTTTTGGCGTCACTTGGCTGGACGCAGATGAAAAATAATTTGAAACATAAAGCTTCCGGAGAATTATTGGAGTTTATTTTATAAACAACATCAAAATGACGCTTTTCATTGCTGCTGCCCAATTTGTAATGCTGATTATTAGTGTTAAGGTAGATGTAGACCCTAACTAGATGACATTTCCTGTGCTCTATACACGGCGTATTATAAAATCATACAACAGCCATATGGCACTGGGATGCAAGTGTAGGCAGAGGACAGAACACGCAAAGAAGATGGGGAACACACAAAAACTTTATTGAACTCTGAAAGACACTCCATCAGGACAGTTCATGGCACTCCGCGACATGCGGCTTGTAGGGACACCTATGGTAGGCGGGCTCACGGGGACTCAACGGGACTCCAGCTGTGGAGTCTGGCCTAGCATGGCTCCCACCCAGCTTTCCAGGGACATCGGGCTCACGGGGACTCAATGGGACTCCAGCTGTGGAGTCTGGCCTAGCACAGCTCCCACCCAGCTTTCCAGGGACATCAGGCTCACGGGGACTCGACGGGAGTCCAGCTGTGGAGTCTGGCCTAGCACGGCTCCCACCCAGCTTTCCAGGGACATCTGGCTCACGGAGACTCAACGGGACTCCAGCTGTGGAGTCTGGCCTAGCACGGCTCCCACCCTGCTTTCCAGGGACATCGTGTTCACGGGACTCAACGGGACTCCAGTTGTGGAGTCTGGCCTAGCACGGCTCCCACCCAGCTTTCCAGGCACATCGGGCTCACGGGACTCAATGGGACTCCAGCTGTGGAGTCTGGCCTAGCACGGCTCCCACCCAGCTTTCCAGGGACATTGGGCTCACGGGACTCGATGGGACTCTAGCTGTGGGTGTCTGGCCTAGCAAGGCTCCCACCCAGCTTTCCGGGGACATTGGGCTCACGGGGACTCAACGGGACTCCAGCTGTGGAATCTGGCCTAGCACTTCTCCCACCCAATGCAGGAGCAGAATTTGGAGGTAGGGATAGAGAGTTAAAGAAAAAATCCTCCTGCACTTCAATGGCTAATCCCTAACCTAAACTGCTCACACCCACCTTTTATACCAAAAAGTGAACACAAATAAATAACTAAATGGTGTAGCGCTAATAAATAACTAATACTAGTGCATTAGTGCATAACATATACAAATTCAAATCAGTATATATAAATATATAGATAAATCACACGTGACACACAAACCGAGTGAATAATGTCACAAACCTATAAAGTGAATACACAATCAAAAACCCCCCTTAATCCCTAACTGGGGGATCAAATGACAAATAGTAGTGGATAAAGTGATTCCCTCTTATGGGAACGCAATACACATAAGTAAAAGGTGCACCCCTAATGGTGAAACAATTCATACAAAGTGATAGGTGTAACAACACTTAATCACAGCAAAACAAACAATTAGTGATACATGGATATTGTTCAGTCCATACAAAAACGTCCACTTTGACACACTCTTGTGAACACGAATAAACCAGCAAAACGTGAAAGTGAAACTTGTAGAGTAGCCCTTTCCAATGGTCCCAGGCTCCCCGATGAAACGGGAGCGCCTGGGAACCACCGGTGGGTGCTGCTGCCGAGGGTGCCCCTTTGAGAGCTCTGTAAAAGTGACTGGGTGGCTCTAAAACCACCTGATCACTTTTACCAGAAAGCCCTTTTCCGACTCTTACAGTTGCGAATTTCCTTTAACCACTTGTCTACCATGGCGTTTATAAACGTACCTTGGTAGACAAGTGGTTAAGGACACCATTATATAACTCCGTGACAAACCTCCTGCGGTGAACAAGCTCCTTCGTCCTAATGAGAACCATAGAACGTGCAAAATTCTCCTCTCTGCCAAAAATGGTGGTGGGTTACAGTGTCAGGGGTGAGCGGGACGGCTAATGAGTCGCGTCGAAGCCGGTGTGGTTCAGGTGTCTGAGGGCTCTGAATCATAAAACACATGAAAGCCCGCAGTGCGTTTTAATTTCACTTCTGATAAATTCGCATGAAAATAACTCACACTTTGCACACTGATCATAAAATCAGCCCGGCTCCATAAAGAGGCACAAAGCTTCCTGTGTTCACATTTCATAAAACAAGAGCCGGCCTCATGCTGCGGGTGGGTGCCACACTTGTAAAATCCCCATTTCTAGCTAAATTAACTCAAATGTGGAAAGTTCGGTGCTGAGGTTTACAAGGAGGAAGGGAGGCTCGCTTCTGAATAAAAAAACATGTGAACCTCCGCACGCTCCTGGAATGTGATGTATAATTATTATTCACACATAGTTCTTGGTGGACATAATGGGGGGGGATTTACTAAAATTGGAGCACTCAGAATCTGGTGCAGCTGTGCATGGGAGCCAATCAGCTTTCAACTTCAGCTTGTTCAGTTAAGCTTTGCCAATGAAACCTGGAAGCTGATTGGTTTCTATGCAGAGCTGCAACAGATTCTGGGTGCATCAATTTTAGTAAATCAAGACGTGGCAACAAACATGTTCTATCCATTGGCCGGGAGATTCTGCTTTTAAAGGGTCACTCCAGCCCAGGGGCGGACTGACCATTTGGAAACTCGGGCACTGCCCGAGGGCCCTGGGTCAGTAGGGGGCCCCATGAGATGCCCCTGGTACATTTTTCATAGGCTTTTTTGAGTTTGGGCAAGGACACAGGGGCCTCACGATCCCCTATTGCCCGGGGCCCCATGAGTTGTCAGTCCGCCCCTGCTGACGGCACGCAGTCACATGTACATGCATACACAGCAGGGGCGGACTGACATCTCATGGGGCCCCCTGGCAATAGGGGATCATGGGGCCCCTGTGTCCTTGCCCTAACTCAAAAAAGCCTATGAAAAAGGTACCAGGGGCATCTCATGGGGCCCCCTACTGACCCCGGGCCCTCGGACAGTGCCCGAGTTTCCAAATGGCCAGTCCGCCCCTGATACACAGACACACACACACACACCCTATAAAAAGTTGCAGTACTTCGTTGTTCACTCACAGAGCCGGGTACTGCACTCTAGGGGGAGGCAGAGAGCACCGCACACTCTCCTTGCTTTGTTTTCACTGCGCTCAGCTACTGAGCAGTCTGACGGCCAGGGGCGGACTGACCGTTTGGAAACTCGCACACTGCCCGAGGGTCCGGGGTCAGTAGGGGGCCCCATGAGATGCCCCTGGTACCTTTTTCATAGGCTTTTTTTGAGTTTGGGCAAGCACACAGGGGCCCCATGATCCCCATGAGTTGGCAGTCCGCCCCTGCATCCAGCCATACCTGATATTTTGGTGGATGTAAACCCAATCACTAAAATCTCATAGAAGCTTTAAAATGGTAATTTCATTTTCATTCTCAATCTATGTAAGGGCTCATGTACACTGCAGCTGAAAAACTCACGTTTAGGAGCTGTTTTGCATTTTTTTTCAGCAGCCCCTGAACTCCCCCTAATGTTTTCCTATGTGTCCATGTACACATCATCGTTTACAGGCAGTTGAGTATACAGTCATTTTTTTTGAACGAAGAAAACTTGCGTTCAGGAGTAGATTTTATCAGCGTTTCAAACGCAAAACGCTTGTAAAGGCGGGAATTCACGCTTATACACATTAGCGTCTGAAAATTTTTTCCACTTCCCGATGCTGTCCAGAGCCTTTTTTCATCATGAAAAATGCATGCGAAGCATTTTCAAGCTACTCAGATGGACAAAACACTGAACACAGGATGTTCCTACCAAACTTGTCACACATTGTAATGACCAATTCACACCTCAGACCTCTCCCACCTGTGGAAACAAAAGATATGTTAATGACCATTCACACCTCAAATTCCTCATGAAGACCCCCTGCCAGGTGACCTTAATGACTTCCTCCACCAGACACCTTCCCCACCCTTGGAAACAAAAGAAATGTTAATGAGCAACTCACACCTAAGCTAATCTCAACACATACTGCTGTCTCTGCTTCTACTCTCTGTATTTCTCTGAAACAGTCTGAAATAGTTAATAATTTACAACTTTTCAGTGCATTCTGAGCATTTGGGAGGTTCTCCTGTGCTTATCTTTAAAAAACGCTTCTAAACGCAAAAGCACATAAACACGTTATGCAATTGCGGCTAAACAGATGTTTTTTAACCTACGTTTTCCAGCAGTCAGTTTCCATTGTTCAGAAGTGTCCCGTGTACATAGGGCCTAAATCTGCATAATCCCTGGTGATCCTGCCATGAGGGTCCTTGTTCAGGCACTTCCTGTTGTAAGGTAACAATGCTCTGTCCTTGTCCCTCACTTGTGCTCCTGTGTTGTCACCATGTCTTCTGATGGAGATTACAAGTGGTCATCTATATGCATATTACACAGGAATGGTCTATAGTTGTTACCAACAAGAAACCTGTTCAGGTACTTCCCTGTTATAGTGTGACAACACTTTGTCCCTGTCACTCATTTGTGCGCCTGTGTTGTCACCTTGCAGGTGTAGTTTCCAAACACACTCATTCCTACATTAAAAATGACTGTGTGTAAAAGTGGGTGCTGCAGCGACAGTCAGCTGGAACCGAACAGAATCAGCAAGGGAGAATGTCACCAGCACACCGAGGATCACCAATATGGGTCCAAACGTTTTAATGAACGATCACATAGTTACAGCAAAGCAACGGTTTGGAGTCTCGCAGGACCCCTTCATCAGGCTGTGTTGTCACCTTGACACTGTCCTGTCTACATGTTTGCACTCCAGCGATGGCGCACATCTGGACCATGTTCCTGACAGTAATAATGGCAGACCATGCCAATGCTTTATGTGTCGGAATGGTGACTTTAGTCACTACAGGCAACACACGAGCACAACTGGAAGACCAGGACAAAGCGGTGTCACTCTCAAACAGGAAGTGCCTGAGCAAGGAACTCATGGCAGGATCACCAACGATTGTTTTCATGAAAGCTGCAGATTTAAATCTGAACTCCAGCCTTCCCTTCAGTCTTGCACAGTTGTACCGGCTCCTCTCCTGAACTGGCTCTGATTTAACTGCACATTGTGAGCTTCTCACAATGTGCATTAGAAGCTGCAGCAAGTCAGATAGAATCCGCCTCATTTCCTACTGGAGGATGTCCACTATGCTCCCATTTGACTGTCTCTGGCCCTCCCCTCTCATTCATTGGATTTCAGTTCTTTCAATCACATTGGCTCACATGTGGGTATTACTTAGGGTGGTCTGCATGCCTAGGACTGCCCACTCCTACAGACGGACACCCATCCATCAAGACATTTTGACAACGGCATAACTCCTCCCAAGAACCCAGCCCACTGCTTGCATCAGGACAAGGGGCAGACTGACCATTTGGAAACTCGGACACTGCCTGAGGGCCCGGGGTTAGTAGGGGGCCCCATGAGATGCCCCTGGTACCTTTTTCATAGGCTTTTTTGAGTTTGGGCAAGGACACAGAGGCCCCATGATCCCCTATCATCCAGGGACCCCATGAATTGTCAGTCCGCCTCTGATCAGGACCGAGGACTCTTCAAAAGAAGACTGAGGCAGGGTGCTGTGATATTTTTAGGAAGCTATGTATAGCACCCTGCCAGCTCCTCCCACCAGCCATGATCTGCCTGCATAGAGAAGCGCAGAGATCCACACCAAAAATGAGATGTAATAAAATGGAAAGGTTTTATTTATAAATAGTATTGCATAGAGAAGCACAGAGACCCAGTGATTACATAATTGGGTATAAAAAAAGCTATATAATGAAAATGGAAAGGTTTTATTTAAAAAAAAAAGTAATTAGTATGTTCATGAGAGGGGAGGGAAGGGCCAAGGAAGGCAAAATATAAGAAGATTAAGCGTAAAAATAAATGAAAACTTTTGAAATGACATATATAGGATATCAGTGATTGAGTGTACATCCACTTTAATTGTAAAAAGCCTATTCTTGAAGAGGGGTGAAGAATGGCAGGCAGAGGATCCCCTCCCCCATCCACGTTTATGGGATATGGCGCTGACGATGTCCTCAGGATTTAGAATAGCTCAGTTATTCCACAGCGGGATTGTTTCACTGCAGCCATGTTCATCGTGTGAAAGACAAATCCTTGACATGCAGATGTAGAGCCCCATACTCGGCGGAATTAGGAGCACCAGTTCATCTTACTAATACACTTTTTGGCTGCGCTCTCATCTGGCCCTTCCAGAGCCTGCAGAACACTTGTATGAGGATTACCAGGGCGAGAACACCTGGCGCTGACACCGACAACCTCCGCTCTTCTGGGTGACAGGACGTGTCTGCCTGGAGGGGATGCAGAGCCTGCGAAAGGGATCAGCCACATGGGGATCACCTGATCACTGGCTTCTAAAAAATGTGTTTCTACATAAAGTGTGGAATGATCTCTGTACATGGGGGGTGGGTATGGTTAAAGCTGACGTTTAATCTGCTCACATTTTGCCTTCCCAGTGGTGTCATCACAGGGGTGCTTCACTATGCAATGCAGGATTATGGTGGTGGGAGGGGCCAGCAGGGTGCTGTCTGTAGCTGAATAAAGGGGAGAGAACAATGTTTTGGACAACTTGCCAGCCAGCTTGCTAACAACCAAATTAACCTGCCTAACAGTATGCCAGGGGTTTAGTGGTGTCACACAGGGTCTTAATCGTGCTTCACTATGCAATGCAGGCAGATTATGGCTGGTGGGAGGGGCCAGCAGGGTGCTGTCTGTAGCTTCCTGAAAACATCACTGCTTTATACAGGATTAAGTTAGTCACACATGGCAACTACAATTTGCCTTCCCAGGTTCATCAGTGGTGTCATCACAGGTAGCACAATGGCAACCAGGGCTGTCGTAGCTTCCTCACACTATGCAATGCAGGCAGATTATATGCAATGCAGGCAGATTATGGTGGTGGGAGGGGCCAGCAGGATGCTGTCTGTAGCTTCCTGAAAACATCACTGCTTACAATTTGCCTTCCCAGCTTCCTCCCTTCCCCCTCATCCACACACTAATACAATTTATAAATAAAACCTTTCCATGTTTATTACATACCCTAACTTGGACCCAGTGGTGTCATCACATGGTCTGTGTGCTTCTCTATGCAATGCAGGCAGATTATGGCTGGTCTGAGGGGCCAGCAGGATGCTGTCTATATCTTCCTGAAAACATCACTGCTTACAATTTGCCTTCCCAGGTTCCTCCCTTCCCCCTCATCCACACACTAATACAATTTATAAATAAAACCTTCCAATGTTTATTACATACCCTAACTTGGACCCAGTGGTGTCATCACAGGGTCTTTGTGCTTCTCTATGCAATGCAGGCAGATCATGGCTGGTCTGAGGGACCAGCAGGGTGTTGTCTGTAGCTTCCTGAAAACATCACTGCTTACAATTTGCCTTCCCAGCTTCCTCCCTTCCCCCTCATCCACACACTAATACAATTTATAAATAAAACCTTTCCATGTTTATTACATACCCTAATTTGGACCCAGTGGTGTCATCACAGGGTCTGTGTGAACTGGCCCTGAATCTGATGCTTTACAGCTCATTCACATGGGCAGAAAATAATGTATCTAAATAAAGAGTGCGCACACACAGCTGCGTCTACATACGAAAAAGTGCGCCGTGTTTAGTCATGCACAAAAAAGTAGGACACAGATGTAGAGTTTACACAATACAGATCTGCAGATTTTACTCACATACGCACACAAACATGAGTACTTTAGGCCAGGCCTTGAAATTTCCACTCGCCTGCTCGCCAATGGCGAGTGGAAATTATGGAGGGGGCGAGTGTGTCCCCCAGGGCCGTGTCGCTGAGCAGGCTTGGAGCTCAGGCCGGACCTGTCATTGGCACTGGGAGCCGTCAGCAGGGGCGGACTGACAACTCATGGGCCCCCCCGGGCAATAGGGGATCATGGGGCCCCTGTGTCCTTGCATAAACTAAAAAAAGCCTATGAAAAAGGTACCAGGGGCATCTCATGGGCCCCCTACTGACCCCGGGCCCTCGGCCAGTGCCCGAGTTTCCAAATGGTCAGTCCGCCCTTGGCCGTCAGACTGCTCAGTAGCTGAGCGCAGTGAAAACAAAGCAAGGAGTGTGTGCTGTGTTCTCTGCCTCCCCCTAGAGTGCAGTACCCGGCTTTGTGAGTGAACAACGAAGTACTGCAACTTTTTATAGGTGTGTGTGTGTCTGTATCAGGGGCGGACTGACCATTTGGAAACTCGGGCACTGCCCGAGGGCCCGGGGTCAGTAGGGGGCCCCATGAGATGCCCCTGGTACCTTTTTCATAAGCGCTTTTGAGTTTGGGCAAGGACACAGGGGCCCCATGATCCCCTATTGCCTGGGGGCCCCATGAGATGTCAGTCCGCCCCTGCTGTGTATGCATGTACATGTGTCTGTGTGTATGTACATGTGTCTGCGTGTATTTACATGTATGTGTGTGTGTACATGTGTCTGTGTGTGTGCATGTACATGTGTGTTTGTGTGTATGTACGTACATGTCTGTGTATGTATGTATGTATATGTGTCTGTGCGTGTGTATTTCTGTGTATGTACATGTATCTGTGTATATGCGTGTCTGTACATGACTGTGTGTGTATACGTGTCTGTATGTGTGTGTGTACACGTGTCTCTGTGTGCGTGTGTGTACATGTTTCTGTGTGTGTATGTACATGTCTGTCTGTGTGTATTTCTGTGTATATACATGTATCTGTGTGTATGCGTGTCTGTACGTGACTGTGTGTGTATACATGTGTCTGTATGCGTGTACACGTGTCTCTGTGCATTTGTGTACATTTTTCTGTGTATGTGTGTGTGTGTATGTACATGTCTGTGTGTGTGTACATGTGTCTCTGTGCATTTGTGTACGTTTCTGTGTGTACATGTCTGTGTGTGTGTATGTACATGTCTGTGTGAGTACATGTGTCTCTGTGTGCGTGTGTGTACATGTTTCTGTGTGTGTGTATGTACATGTGTCTCTGCGTGTGTATGTACATGTGTCTCTGCGTGTGTGTACATGTTTCTGTGTGTGTATGTACATGTCTGTGTGTGTGTACATGTGTCTCTGCATGTGTGTACATGTTTCTGTGTGTGTATGTACATGTCTGTGTGTGTGTACAGGTGTCTCTGTTTGTGTGTACATGTTTCTGTGTGTGTATGTACATGTCTGTGTGTGTGTACATGTGTCTCTGCATGTGTGTACATATTTCTGTGTGTGTATGTACATGTCTGTGTGTGTGTACAGGTGTCTCTGTTTGTGTGTACATGTTTCTGTGTGTGTATGTACATGTCTGTGTGTGTGTACATGTCTGTGTGTGTGTACAGGTGTCTCTGTTTGTGTGTACATGTTTCTGTGTGTGTATGTACATGTCTGTGTGTGTGTACATGTCTGTGTGTGTGTACAGGTGTCTCTGTTTGTGTGTGTTTGTTTGTGGCTAGTAGCTCAGGACTTGAAATTTTAGGCCCTGCTTTAGGCGCATATTTTAGGATCTTTCTTTCAAGCAGGAAATGTGTCTCCACACAGCTACACGCAGTGTTCTTTCTGGCGGTGTGAATGAGCCCCTTGGTGATCCTGCCATGAAGGTACTTTCTGTTTTAGGGTGACAACTCTCTGTCTCTCAGCTGTACTCCTGTGTTGTCACCTTATCACAGCTTTCTGGAATAAGCGGATGGATCAGGCCTACAAGTCACATAAGTGTGTCAAAGGGGCATCGACCGCACAAAGCAGGGCACTGTGACTTTCTATCATAGGACAGTAAACTGTGAACCGAAAGTAACTGATGGGCAAAGTTGGTGTTGGTAAAGCAGATTTCTGTGTGAATTTCCCCAAAAAAAAAACAAACCAAAAACACCAAAAAAAAAAACAAAAAAAAACCCCCCCCCCCCCCCCCCCCAAACAACACACACACGTCACTTTTCTATGTTTCTATCTTCAGGTTCCCCTTGTCCCCTGCTACCTTGAAATACCCTTTGTACTGACCAGAAGCCGGGGTCAGGTGACACTCCAGTCCTAAGTCTTCTTTCCTTCTCTTTACAGGTGGCAACAAAAACAACAAAAAAACACACACAAAAAAACAAAAACACACCCTCCCCAAAAAAACAAAACAAAAACAACAAAAAAACAGAAACAACAACAAAAACACACACACACACAAAAGGGCAGACTCTACGGACTACTCTGTCTTTTTTCTGCTGTCACTTTTCTATGTTTCTATCTTCAGGTTCCCCTTGTCCAGTCCTGAGTCTTCTTTCCTTCTCTTTACAGGTGGCAACAGAAACAACAACAAAAAAACACACACAAAAAAAAACAAAACAAAAACAAACCCCCCCCCAAAAAAAAACAAAAACAAAACAAAAAAATAAAAAAACAAAAACAACAACAAAAAACACACACACAAAAAAGGGCAGACTCTATGGACTACTCTGTTTTTTTCTTCCATCACTTTTCTATGTTTCTATCTTCAGGTTCCCCTTGTCCCCTGTTACCTTGAAATGCCCTTTGTACTGACCAGAAGCCATGGTCAGGTGACACACCAGTCCTAAGTCTTCTTTCCTTCTCTTTACAGGTGGCACACAAACAAACAAAGAGAACCCCCCCCAAAAAAAAAAATCAAAACAAAACAACAAAAAACCAACAACAAAAAAACACACACACACACACACACACACACACACACACACACACACACAGACAGACAGACACACAAAACGAAACAAAAGCGAAAAAAAAAAAAAAAAAGAACCCCTACCCAAAAACAAAAACACAACAAAAACAACAACAAAAACACACACACAAAGGGCAGATTGGATGGATCACTTGGTCTTTTTCTGCCTTCACTTTTCGACGTTTCTATCTATAGGTCCCCTGCTACCTTGAAATGCCGTTTGTTCTCACCAGAAGCCGCGGTCAGTGGACACTCCAGTCCCAAGTCCTCTTTCCTCCACTTTATAGGTGGCAGGATCCTTCTTCAGGTGCCCGTGTCATCTGTGACACGTATGTAATCTCCATTAGGGGCACATGTGGCATAGTGACAGGAGCATACTTAGGAGGCCGTGACACAATGTTGTCACCATGGAACACATTTTGGGGTTGCACCCCCCTTTCCCAAACATTTTTTTCTAATGTCTTTAGCATGTTAAGGATTAAATTTTACTGATTGGACCTACAGTGCCTTGAAAAAGTATTCATACCCCTTAAAACTTTCCACATGTTTCCAACCAAAAACGTAAATGTATTTTATTGGGAATTTATGTGATAGACCAACATTGTGAAGTGGAAGGAAAAGGTAAAGCAACCTTCACCCATTCATGTCTATGGCTGTACGCAGATCAAGGCCATCCAGGACTGCAGACATTTGCAGTGCCTTTACCCTGCACCAGCAGATGTGCCCACGTTCGTGCAGCTCTAGCATTGCCAATGTAAAAAAAATCATAATTTTGTACTTTTTATTGCCGCAGACTGTCTGCCCTTTACAGACACAGAGGTGGGGGTGGCAGACACTGGCTTGGTGAGCAGGACTCTTTAGAAGCTTGCAGGTCATCCCATTGCAAGGTCCATGCCAGTGATTAACTCCAAAGCTCCTCTGTGCCAAATGCAAATTAGGGCGCATGCTTTAGGCTGTTACTAGCCGTGGTGCTGGGGAGATTGGAATGCTGAGTGCAGAGCCAGCTTGAACAGAACCAAAGTGGCCGGCGGGGCCTGCAAATGATGGATATGATAACTGTGTATTCATCAGAGGAGTCAATGGTAATGTCCATGCCTCCTCCCCAATGTCCATGTAGACACAGCTGACATAAGGGCAGTCTAGTGTTGTCACCCTCTAAGAGGAAATGACCTACAGTAGAGAGCTCTGGCAGGATCAACAGATATTTAGTAGGATTTGCAAGGGGAATAATAAAATGAAAACACACATAAAGGGGCAATTATTTATGCTTGACAACGTATCCTTGTACAAATCATTATTAAGACCTCATCTGGAATATGCAGTTCAGTTTTGGGCACCAATTCACAAAAAAGAACATTGGGGAACTGGAGAAAGTACAGAGAAGGGCAACCAAACTGATAAGAGGCATGGAGGAGATCAGCTATGAGGAAAGGTTAGAGGAACTGAATGTATTCTCTTTTGAAAAGAGGAGATTAAGGGGGGATATGATCACCATGTATAATACATAAGGGGGATATGATCACCATGTATAATACATAAGGGGGGGTATGATCTCCATGTATAATACATAAGGGGGGATATGATCTCCATGTATAATACATAAGGGGGGATATGATCTCCATGTATAATACATAAGGGGGGGTATGATCTCCATGTATAATACATAAGGGGGGATATGATCTCCATGTATAATACATAAGGGGGGATATGATCTCCATGTATAATACATAAGGGGGGATATGATCACCATGTATAATACATAAGGGGGGGGATATGATCTCCATGTATAATACATAAGGGGGATATGATCTCCATGTATAATACATAAGGGGGGATATGATCACCATGTATAATACATAAGGGGGGGGGATATGATCTCCATGTATAATACATAAGGGGGGATATGATCTCCATGTATAATACATAAGGGGGGATATGATCACCATGTATAATACATAAGGGGGGGATATGATCACCATGTATAATACATAAGGGGGGATATGATCTCCATGAATAATACATAAGGGGGGATATGATCTCCATGTATAATACATAAAGGGGGGGATATGATCTCCATGTATAATACATAAGGGGGGATATGATCACCATGTATAATACATAAGGGGGATATGATCTCCATGTATAATACATAAGGGGGGATATGATCTCCATGTATAATACATAAGGGGGGATATGATCTCCATGTATCATACATAAGGGGGGATATGATCACCATGTATAATACATAAGGGGGGATATGATCACCATGTATAATACATAAGGGGGGATATGATCACCATGTATAATACATAAGGGGGGATATGATCACCATGTATAAATATACATAAGGGGGGATATGATCTCCATGTATAATACATAAGGGGGGGTGGATATGATCTCCATGTATAATACATAAGGGGGGATATGATCTCCATGTATAATACATAAGGGGATATGATCTCCATGTATAATACATAAGGGGGGATATGATCTCCATGTATAATACATAAGGGGGGATATGATCTCCATGTATAATACATAAGGGGGGATATGATCTCCATGTATAATACATAAGGGGGGGATATGATCACCATGTATAATACATAAGGGGGGATATGATCTCCATGTATAATACATAAGGGGGGATATGATCTCCATGTATAATACATAAGGGGGGATATGATCTCCATGTATAATACATAAGGGGGGATATGATCTCCATGTATAATACATAAGGGGGGATATGATCTCCATGTATAATACATAAGGGGGGATATATCTGATCTCCATGTATAATTCATAAGAGGGGGGGGATATGATCTCCATGTATAAATACATAAGGGGGGATATGATCTCCATGTATAATACATAAGGGGGGATATGATCTCCATGTATAATACATAAGGGGGATATGATCTCCATGTATAATACATAAGGGGGGGTATGATCTCCATGTATAATACATAAGGAGGGGATATGATCTCCATGTATAATACATAAGGGGGGGGGGGGATATGATCTCCATGTATAATACATAAGGGGGATATGATCTCCATGTATAATACATAAGGGGGATATGATCTCCATGTATAATACATAAGGGGGGATATGATCTCCATGTATAATACATAAGGGGGATATGATCTCCATGTATAATACATAAGGGGGGATATGATCTCCATGTATAATATATAAGGGGGGATATGATCTCCATGTATAATACATAAGGGGAGATATGATCACCATGTATAATACATAAGGGGGGATATGATCTCCATGTATAATACATAAGGGGGATATGATCTCCATGTATAAATACATAAGGGGGGATATGATCTCCATGTATAATACATAAGGGGGGATATGATCTCCATGTATAATACATAAGGGGGATATGATCTCCATGTATAATACATAAGGAGGGGATATGATCTCCATGTATAATACATAAGGGGGGGGGATATGATCTCCATGTATAATACATAAGGGGGATATGATCTCCATGTATAATACATAAGGGGGGATATGATCACCATGTATAATACATAAGGGGGGGGGATATGAATCTCCATGTATAATACATAAGGGGGGATATGATCACCATGTATAATACATAAGGGGGGATATGATCTCCATGTATAATACATAAGGGGGGATATGATCTCCATGTATAATACATAAGGGGGGATATGATCTCCATGTATAATACATAAGGGGGGATATGATCTCCATGTATAATACATAAGGGGGGATATGATCTCCATATATATAATACATAAGGGGGATATGATCTCCATGTATAATACATAAGGGGGGATATGATCTCCATGTATATATACATAAGGGGGGATATGATCTCCATGTATAATACATAAGGGGAGATATGATCACCATGTATAATACATAAGGGGGGATATGATCTCCATGTATAATACATAAGGGGGGATATGATCTCCATGTATAATACATAGGGGGGGATATGATCTCCATGTATAATACATAGGGGGGGATATGATCACCATGTATAATACATAAGGGGGGATATGATCACCATGTATATCATACATAAGGGGGATATGATCTCCATGTATAATATATTCACCCTGAGGTCATCACAGAGGACAAGGGGGCACTCTTTACTTCTGGAGGAAGTAAAGAGTGCCCCCTTCAAATATGGAAAGGTTTCTTCACAGTGAGAGCTGTGAAACTGTGGAATAGACTCCCTCAAGAGTTGGTTTTGGCCAGTTCAGTGGATTGCTTTACAAAAGTCCTGGATTCTCTCCTATATACACAGAATATAACTGGATATAAACATTTATAGGTAAAGTTGATCCAGGGAATATCCGATTGCCTCTCGGGGGATCAGGAAGGATTTTTTTCCCTTGCAGGAGCAAATCAGATCATGCTTTGCTGGGTTTATTTTTGCCTTCCTCTGGATCAACTGTGGGTGTAGGATTATAACTTTTTTTATGATTGAACTGAATGGACTTTGTCTTTTTTTCATCCAGACTATGTAACTAAATACCACTTTCTAATTTTTGCCTATAGTTCTACTTTACCTTACCCAGGGCTTAAATGCATGGGGACATCGAAGGTTCTCCAATGCACAGAAAGGATATGCCATATGGAAAGTTAAATCACTTTACTTATAAAGTGCCCCCTGTATTAGTTGGTTCTTTATACGGAATAATAAATGCAATATAGAAATCCAAACTGCAGACAAAGCAAGAATGAAAACATGGCAAGGAGAGAAGATGACGGGCCCACGGTGTATAGCGGGGTTCTCCTTTAGGTTGTGCCAGGATCCTGTCCCCCTCACCCATGGGACAGAAAATTGCTGAGTAAGTGGGAGAATACACAAACCACGATAGTTCCTGTTTTATTTTCTCACACATGACGAAGCAGATTCCGGCTTGTGTGTTCATTAACCCCCGAGAGGGTGGCAGAAAATAAGGAAGCCGGGCCGTGGGACCCAATCCCTGAGAACGCTGACGGCTGGCCTCACATTTCTGCTGCATGAATACAGCCAAGCGGAAATTTACTACAGGCCGGAAGCATAGAGAATGCAGGAAAAGTTTGTCTTACTCATTGATAATAATAGGTCCTGCATGGTGGCTGAGCGGTTAGAGCTTTTGCTGCACAGGGGTTCTGGATTCTTTTCCCATCAAGATACAATCTGTATATTTATTATTCATTTATTACAGGATGAATTTCGCACTGATAATTCACACAGCTCTTTACATATTAGTCCCTGGCCTCAAGGGGTGTACGATCTAAGGTCCCTAACTCACATTCATACATACACATACTAGGGACAATTAACTTACCAGCATGTCTGTGGAGCAGGGGCGGACTGACAACTCATGGGGCCCCCGGGCAATAGGGGATCATGGGGCCCCGTGTCCTTGCCCAAACTCAAAAAAGCCTATGAAAAAGGTACCAGGGGCATCTCATGGGGCCCCCTACTGACCCCGGGCCCTCGGGCAGTGCCCGAGTTTCCACATGGTCAGTCCGCCCCTGCTGTAGAGTACAGGTGTGAACCCATGCACGCACAGGCAGAGCATGCCAAATCCATGCATACAGTGTCCTGGTTGGGTGTTTGAACCAAGGGCTCCAGTGCTGCAAAGTAGAAGTGCGAACCACTAAGCTTCTGTATTTATATGTATAGTATTTATGTGGGTCCCTTTAGGGTGCTTGGGCTTCTCCCAGAAACTGACAACATACTGGTAGACTGAGTGGCTGCATCCTCCATTGGGCCAGATGAGTCTAGGTGTATGGTTGAAGTACAGGCATTTGAGCGTAAGCTCCTCTGGTGCAGAGACTGATGTCCATGGTTCAGTGTTCACTGTACAGCACTGCAGTATATGTCAGGGCTATATAAATGTATAATAGTAATAGTGTGGGCAGAACAGTGACTAAATGATTAGCACTTCCGCCTGGCAGTACTCAGGTCGTTGGTTTGAATCCTAACCACGGCACCACCTGCCTGGAGTTTGCATGTTCTCCCTGTGCCTGCGTGGGTTTCCTCTGGGTACTCCGGTTTCCTCCTACTCAAAGACATGCTGGTAGGTGAATTGGCTCCTGTCTAAATTGTCCCTAGTATGTGTATGTATGAATGTGAGTTAGGGACTTTAGACTGTACACCCCTTGAGGGTTAGGGACTGATGTGAATGTACAATATATATATCTGTAAAGAGCTGTGCAAATTGATGGCGCTATATAAGTACCTGCTATAATAATAGTGTGTGACTGTGGGGGGGGGGGGCAATTAGAGCGTAAGCTCCTCTGGTGCAGAGACTAGTGTGAATGGCTCAGTGTTCTCTGTACAGCACTGTGGTATATGTCAGAGATATATACATGTATAATAATAATATAAATCATAATAGTGTGTGGCACATTAGAGAGTAAGCTCCTCTGGTGTAGACACTGATGTATTCACAGTATCAGACTGAAATACTTCAAGAGCTATATACATGTAGATGAATTATAGCGTGTGACTGTAGCGTGACATTAGAGTGTAAGCTCCTCTGGTACAGAGAATGAGACTGGCTTAGTGTTCTCTGCACAGCACCGCAGAATATGACAGAGCTACATAAATATCTCAGGACATCAGAGTGTAAGCTCCTCTGGTGCAGACACCGATGTGGCTAAGCTCAGTGTTCTCTGTACACCACTGTGGTATATGTCAGAGCTATATAAATGTATATTAATAGTGTGTGACTGGTGGGACATTAGGGAGTAAGCTCCTCTGGTGCAGAGACTGATATGACTGGCTCAGTGCTCTCTGTACAGCACTGCGGTATATGTCAGAGCTATATAAATGTATAATAATAATAGTGTGTGACTGGGACATTAGAGTGTAAGCTCCTCTGGTACAGAGACTGATGTGACTAGCTTAGTGTTCTCTGTACAACACTCCGGAATATATCAGAGCTGCATAATAATAATAGGCGTGACTGTAGTGTGACATTAGAGTGTAAGCTCCTCTTGTGCAAAGACTGATGTGACTGGCTCAAAGTTCTCTGTACAGCACTATGGTATATGTCAGGACTTTATACTGTAAATGTATAAGAACAATAGCGTGGGACTGGGACATTAGAGTGTAAGTTCCTCTGCTGCGGAGGCTGAGGTGCCTGGCTCAGTGTTCTCTGTGCAACACTAATGTATATGGCAGAGCTATATAAATGTTTAATAGTAATAGTGTTGGCCTGTGGTGGGGGCATTAGAGTGTAAGTTCTTCTGGTGCAGAGACTGATGGTTTCTGCTTAATCCATGCAGCACTGCAAAATATTTTGGTGTTGTACACATGAAGACAACCAAGAGTGAGAGACAAACCAAAAGCCAGGTAGAAAAACAAATGGCACTTTGGTGGCAACTTATCACCCCGTACCAAATGTTTCGATTCGCTAAACTTTGACACGTGACAAAAACATACAAATTCTTTCGGCCGAACGTCCCTGGGAACCTGGCGCTGTTCTGGCCTCCTGGGCGAATGGCAGATAACAAGCGAGCTCTTGTTTGCCTCTTCCAACCTGCAACCAAATTACCTTTTCCTAATGAAGTCATAGCGGGGCGCTTGGTGTCTGAGGTAACAATGCGCCATTTGATCCGGGAATTCTCCCCGGGGAACTGTGATACCTTGGTGCCAGCTTTTTTCAATTAGCTGACCACAGCGAGCAAACAACTATTACGCTGGTGACTGTGTGGGATATAGAGCAGTGCTGTGTCTGCGCGGCCCAAACCACAACATGTTTCTAAGAAAAGCCGAGAGAGAGAGAGAGAGAGAGAGAGAGAGCGATGGGGAAAACAGAGAACAATGAGGTCATGTGACAAAACTTCTCCCCAACTATTTCTTTTCGCCTGCTGACAGTGTGATGTAATATGAAAACACCCAGCAGTGGCCTTTAACCCTCACCTTTAAGCAGTGTTTTTTTTTTAGTAATTAAAGGGGAATGATGATGGATTTCACTAAACTCTGTGTGTTTCACTAAACTCTGTGTGTTGTGTTCTGTGCCAATAAAGTTTTCCAGGAAACAAGTTTTGATATAGATTGTGACGGGAGTCACTTTGGGTGGGGTGGCCCATGGAACATAACTCACTTTGGAGAGGTGGGGAGACCCCTGTCTCGGCTCCCCATATCCCTCTTATGTGTAAGTCACCCTGTGCCAGTTAGGGGTACAGGGTGATCTGTCCTAATATTGGGGTGGGGGTTGTTGATTGTTTAATGCCATGTAGTTGCATCCCATTGTTCTATTGTGTGTCTTGCTTGGGAGCAAACTATTATGGGATGTGTGTGTTTAAGTGTATTGGCTTGGTGGTGGTGGTGGGGGGGGGTCTCAAGCAGCATCCCTCCTGATGGGACTGTCTACTGGTGTGTCTCTTGTTACTAAATGTAGATTGCCCCGCCCTGTGTCATTATGCAGGGAGGGGGGGGTTGTTCCCTTGAATGTATATATCTTGTATCTGTGTTAAAATAAAGTAGTCTATTTCCTGGTTTACTTCAAGATTGGTGTTGTCTAGTCTTGTATGGTCTGCTGTGGTGTCTGTGGTCGGTGTTCGGACGGGGAAGCGGTATTATAACGGAAGTACCCAAGCACAGACAGAGTCGGTTCCATTACTTAGATCCTACCATGCTTATGGTGATTGTATCTGTATTAGTGGATTTGAGTGCTTAGACCAAGACCAAGGAGAAGGTGGTGGATCCTGAAAGCTTGTCCTAAAAACTTAAAAAGAAAAGGATCACAGACAGTACTCAGTACTCACCTGTCATGTAGATCTTGGAATCATTTTAGATTGTATGCATCTTACGGTTCGTGTACACGGGGCGTTTGAAAAACGTTTCTGAATGCTGGAAACTGACTGCTAGAAAACGTAGGTTAAAAACGTCAGTTTAGCCACGTTTATCTAACGCGTTTATGCGTGTTTGTGTTTAGAAGCATTTTTAAAAGATATGTGTACAAATAAGACTTCAGCGCAAAAAACAACCAACCTCCTGTGTAGTAAACGACTGTAAACGACTGTGTACATGGACACATAGGAAAACAAAAAGGAGAGTTCAGGGGCTGCTGAAAAAAACGCACAACTGCTACTAAACTGCAGTTTAGCAGCTGCAGTGTACATGAGGCCTTAAGATTTTCGAATGAATGTTCCTTCAAAAATTGTCAGTACAGTGCAGGTCCGGATCTAGGGGGCTGGGGTGGTCTTTTCCCCCAAGATTTTAGCTGTGCTGCCCAGATCTCTAAGGGTGCATCCACTGATCGATGAGGCACTCTGATGGGCACAATTGGACTCTCACAGGACACTTGATGTTCGGGGAACTCTGATGAGGACAGTTGATGTAAGGGAACACTTTGATGAGGACAGCTGATGTAAGGGAACACTTTGATGGGGACAGCTGATGTAAGGGAACCCCTTAATGGGGACAGCTGCTGTAAGGGAGCACTTTGATGGGGACAGCTGCTGTAAGGGAGCACTTTGATGGGGACAGCTGCTGTAAGGGAGCACTTTGATGGGGACAGCTGCTGTAAGGGAGCACTTTGATGGGGACAGCTGATGTAAGGAGCACTTTGATGAGGGACAGCTGATGTAAGGGAACCCCTTAATGGGAACAGCTGATGTAAGGGAGCACTTTGATGGGGACAGCTGATGTAAGGGAGCACTTTGATGGGGACAGGCCTGATGTAAGGAGCACTCTGATGAGGACAGCTGATGTAAGGGAGCACTTTGATGAGGACAGCTGATGTAAGGGAACCCCTTAATGGGGACAGCTGATGTAAGGGAGCACTTTGATTGGGACAGCTGATGTAAGGAACCCCTTAATGGGGGACAGCTGATGTAAGGGAGCACTCTGATGGGACAATTGATGTAAGGGTGCACTCTGATGGGGACAGTTGATGTAAGGGAGCACTCTGATGGGGACAATTGATGTAAAGGTGCACTCTGATGGGGACAGTTGATGTAAGGGAGCACTTTGATGAGGATAATTGATGTAATGGGGACTCTAATGGGGACAGTTGATGTAAGGGAGCACTTTGATGAGGACAGCTGATGTAAGGGAACCCTTTAATGGGGACAGCTGTTGTAAGGGAGCACTCTGATGGGGACAATTGATGTAAGGGTGCACTCTGATGGGGACAGTTGATGTAAGGGAGCACTTTGATAGGGACAGTTGATGTAAGGGAGCACTTTGATGGGGACAGTTGATGTAAGGGGGCACTCTGATAAGGAGAACTAATGCAAGAGGGACTCTGATGATGAAAAAATTATGTAAGGGGGGCTCTGATGGGGACAGCTGATGTAAGAGGCACTACTCTGATGTAGACAGCTGATGCAAGGAGGTACTCTGATATGGACACCAGGTTATGACTCGTGGTACAGATGTGAACAATGAATATTGGTTCCCTGCATCTCCTTTAAATTGTTGACATTATGCCCCCTGATTTTTTTTTTTATACTGCACCCCCAGATCAGATAGGTTAGATTCAGCCCTAGTACAGTGTGAGCATTTCACGAATGTCATTCAAAAGTAGGTAAAAATTTTAGTTTGCTTTTAACATTCCAGAGTAAATGGACTTTA